TCCTCGTGCCCAGGGCCCTTGAGCCCCACAGCAAGAAGTGAGAAGGTAGCCGGTGTGGAGTGGGTGCCTGGCTGGCTTTGGACTGGAGCACGGGGCTGCTAGAGGGTCAAGTCCAGAGTCAGTCTCCCAGGGAACAGTCAGATACCACAGCTTTATGCCAGGAGTTACAGTCCGCAGAAACCTAATTGGCCATTTAGTTCCGCCCACTCTTTTTGTGGGTGAGCAAGTTGAAGTCCAGAGGGCGGAAGTGACTTGCTTGCTCAGGGTCACCTGTCAGGTCAGCAGGAAAGCCACCTTGCAGTCAGGTCTCCAGAGCCCGGTCTCGTGTTCTTTCGATTTCTCAACGGCTCTTTTCATCCAGGGCAACTCAGCGCCATTTTGTTTTGACCCTGTCTCTACATTTTGGTTAAGGTTTCCAATGCTTTCTACCAAATATACCAAACCAACCCCATTCAGATTAAAATACATCCCCATCCACAAAGTAAACAAACCACTGAAAAGAACTCAATTCTCCCTAGGACTTTTGTGTCTTGCGCGATGAGATCTAGAGAACCTCTTTTTTCCTTCAATAATACTGTAAAAATAGTAAATTAATTGCACTTAAATATAAGAAGAATAAAAAGAGCTTGTCCATGACTTCTCTGTCTTGATAATATAACTAATATTTAAAAAATAAAATTAGGGGCGCCTGGGTGGCTCAAGTCGGTTGAGCGTCCGACTTCGGCTCCGGCGGTGATCTCGCAGTTCGTGAGTTCGAACTCTGTGCTGACAGCTCCGAGCCTGGAGCCTGCTTTGGATTCTGTGTCTCCCTCCCTCTGCCCCTTCCCCGCTCATGCTCTGTCTCTCTCTGTCTCTCAAAGATGAGTAAACGTTAAAAAAAAATTGAATAATTCCAATACGTGAGATTTATCGATCATTTTCTGTGGTTCTAGGCCCTCTCCTGCCACTGTCCCATTTAATCCATACAACATCCCAAGGAGGTGGGTACCAGTCTTATCCCCATTTTACAGATAAGGAAGCTGAAGGAGGGAAGGGGTGAGCAACTTTTCCAGCATCACCACAAACAAGTGGCAGAGCTGGGATTCCGATCTAAACAGTCCGCAGTAGGGCTCGGGTCCTTAACCAGGTTCCGCGTCGCCTCGGAACCGTGCATTCTTACCTGAGTTGTAAGTTTTATTTCATCTTCAAACTTGATTTCCCACATCCCATTGTTTCCGTGGCCATAGAATCTCTCCCAGGTAGGAATTAGGTCCCGTTCAAGTCAATTGGCATAAACAGTCAGATTTGTTAGAAAAGGCATTTTGGAATCAATTTGACTCTTATTGCTTTTGACTTTGTTATGAATTTCAGTTTGGGTTAAGGGTGTATGGGACTTCAAAACATCTGGTTCAGTCATTTAAGAACCTTTCTGAGACTTCACAACTCCTTAAGACTTCCTTTCGAATTCAGACATTTCCTCTGTCACCACCCTCTGAACAACGCTTTGAGAAACAAGGAAACAATGCTTTATTCATTTGAGAAAATGCACAGAGGCGTCCTTAATCTGTTATGAATGGGAGTAAGATGTTTTACATAAGTAGAATCTCAAGAAACTAAACCGTAGAATTTTAAGAGCTGAAGTGGTTTTTGCCAACAGTTTTTGGTGGTTTCACATCCATTCTTTTTTTTTGCTGTTTTAACAGTTTTTTGATAACCCCAGCCCATGATTACAACTGTTACTCATATACTATGTGCCCTAGTGAGAATTCCTGGCAAAGTCTTCTTTTGGGATCTGGGACTCCCTAACACACGCGACTTCGTAATATTGTCCCCTAATTACTTGACACTCTCAGATCTTAATATATAAATATACATTAAGACACGTATTTATATATTAGTGTATCTTAAGAGATGTACTGATATATAATATACAATATATTTTTATTTTTATATATTTATATTTGTATACAAAAATATTTTTATGTCTTTGTATATAAACGCCATAGTTTGAATACGGATACTTGCTCGCATTTGGATAGTGCGATTGGCTGGTGGGAATATGAACACAAGCTAGGAACTGATGAACTCTGGGCAGTCTGGCTCACCGTCTCTAGAAGAGGCATGACTGTTCCCAGCTGATAGTCCCTAAAGGGACAAGGCACGTCACTTGGCCTGTACTATTAACGTGTTCTCTGCTGCAACCCCGGGGGGACCACTGAATTGGATCCCCTGGGACTCCTTGGCAGCCGGGATACCACCACGTCCCCACTCAGAGACATTTAAGTAGTTTCTCCTTTTTCACTGTTAGAAACAGGGCCGCAGCGGACATCACGGGGGCAACGTCGCTTTGTGCACACAGGCAAAGGGTGACTTTGGGACGGGCACCGACATCTAAACTCTAGGCATCGTGAACTTTTCCCGGGACCGCCAAGTCGCTCTCCAAAGTGATGTACACCCGCATAAGAAGGGGTTCCCGTTCCCTACTTTTCTCAACGACACTCGGTCTTCTTGATTTCTGAAAAACCCTTATTACAGTACCAACAGAAATACTTTGTTAAACCATTTTATCGAGGTGTGATGGGCAGACAAAATGCTGTGCATATTTAATGTAATGCAAGTTCACGAGCACGGAAGAGGTACCCCCCCCATGACCCCATCACCGCAGTCTATGCCACAAACATATCTATTACCTCCAAAGGCTTCCTCCTGCGCTCTTCATGGTTATTATTATTATTGATAGAAACACTTAACAGGTAAGCGATTTTGAAGCCTATAGTCAAGTGTCGTTAACTCTAGGCAGCACACCGTACGGGAGATCTCAAGAACTTACTCATCTTATATTACTGAAACTTTCTACCCTTTGACTAATGCTTCCCCATCTTCCCCTCTGGCCCCAGCCCCTGGCAACTGCCCTTCCAATTCTCTGCTTCTGGAAGTCTGACTCCCTTGGATTCTTCATGCAAGTTTGATCATGCAATAGTATTTGTCCTTCCACGTCTGATTTATTTCCCTTAGCGTGTTGTCCTCCAGATCTATCTGGCTTCTTGCCGGTAGCAGGATTTTCTTCTCTCCAAAGACTGAACAGTAGCCCATCGTATGGATATACCACATTTTCTTTATACATTTGTCCATCGGTGGACAGCTAGGTTGCTTCCACACCTTGGCTATTGTGACTACTGCTATGGTGACCACAGGGATTGCAGGCGTCTCTTTAAGATCCCGATTTCAACGTGTTGGTCCTTCTCTTCGTGCCCTCTTAGCTTAGGTGTTTTAGTCTTCTGTCAAACTGAAGTACTAAATGTAGTAACTCAATTCTGAGCAACAGAAACACTCATCTATTTGCATGGGGCAAATCCTCAACAATCATCTCTTGATTGAAAAATCAGTCCGGTGGAGAAGGAAGTCGCGTTCTGCTGAATATTGGAGTCTGTTCCAACCATTTTGCTGCTTAAAAAGGAATACTGGTGTTTAGATTTCTTGAGCCCACCTTTGGAAGTCCACTTGACCAAGACACAAGGAAGAGAAATCTTAATTCAGGCCCCAGCATTCTGGTAGATGTTCTGCCCCCTTCAACCCAAGGCCGACGGTGAACCCTGCTGACCCCTACAGACGCAAAAGGCAGAGGGTGTGGGCTTCCCCTGCCATGCCTGTTAGACTTGCGTTACTTCGAAATTTCTCATCACCCCCGTTGATTTATCCTGGTCTACTTTGGTAAACACTGCTTTGGGGCGGGTTCTCTTTGTTTTGTATCACGATAGCTGGACCTCATTGCTGCCAAAGTAACGAACACAAATCATACTTAGACATGTTCTTTACTTTCCCCATAGAAACTTGCCTGCTTTTAGTGTTGGCCGAGACATTGTGCGCTGTCTGTCCGGCTTGCATTTTCCCCCTAAGGATAGAGACTAGCGGATGCGAAGTAGATTAGGTTCCTCTTTGCCCACAGAAGGACATCACAGGTGTGACGACGCAGAGCAAATGGCACCGGCCTCTGTGTTGGGAGACAAGAGAGAGCGGTGGGGACTGTGGCTGACTGGAAAGCAGGGCGCGCACCCCGGCTAAGGGAAGACGCTGCTGGACGGCCTGGGCTTGGTGCCTCTTGGCTGTCCCCACCCCCAACAGGATTTGGAGATACAGATTAAGAAAAAATTTTTTTTAAATATTTATTTTATTTATCTTGAGTCTGAGAGAGAGACAGAGCCTGGGAGAGGCAGAGAGAGGGGGAGAGAGAGGATCCCAAGCAGGCCGTCAGCACAGAGCCCAACACAGGGCTCGAACTCACCACCACGAGATCATGACTTGAGATGAAATCCAAAGTCAGATGCTTAACCGACTGAGCCACCCAGGCCCCTGGAGATTCAGATTTTTAAACAAAACCTCCCAAAGTTTTATTTAAACACTGACATATAATTTAAATATATATATAATAAATATATATAATACATATATTATTAATATATATTTAATTTTAATATATTAATTATAAAAATTAAGTAACATATATAAATTATATTTAAAAACTATATAATTAAATCTGTTCCTCTTTCATAATAATATATATTAAATATTATATATAAAATATAATTTTATTTATATATTTATTATAGTAATATATATATTAATGTATTAATTATTATTATTATTTATTATTTACATAAATGATGTAATAAAATATATAAATACATAATATACAATGGAAAATATATAAATATTATTTATTTCCTTCTAAATAAATTATATATAAATATAAGGATATTATTAGAGACGAGAGAGAGATTAATGCTGCATTACTGAGCAATAAGGCGGCTTCAATCAAAATTGTGGTCCTGTTGGCTGCTATTAACGGATACCACCAAACTACTTCCTGGGATGTTTCCAGTTAATAATTCAGCCCTCTTAATCCTGCTGTTGCCTGGCTGGATTTTCAGTAATCACACATTCCATTTTCTCTTCAATTCCAAATGCTTATTCATTGCTTTTGCAGTTCTTTTCAAAGGTTTCTTCCCGCTTTGTCTCATTACCTGGATGGAGCTCCTTAAGGCTGCCAGACAGGGCTGGCTCCAGGGTGGCTCCCCTGCCCGCAGCTGGGAAGGCTTGAAGCATATCTGACGGGACAGGGAGGGGCTAGGGAGGGCCACAGCCCAGAGGGCGTCTGAGAAAGCCAGAACACCAGCCTGATTCCACGCCAGCTGGACTCATCAGCCCTTGCCTGAACCACTGCAGAAGACCCACCTGGTTTACTTGGGGTCTGCCCTTGGCCTTGAAATCACCGCGCCCGAGTGACCTTACCTCGGGCCTCAACATCGCTAAAAGTTTCTTCTTCGCCGAAGCCCCCAGTCCTGCAGTGCAGGACCCAAGCAGCTCTCAAGTCTGCTTTGGGTGGGCCTTTTCCAGCCCCATCCCCCACCTCCATTTTCATTCACGCTCTCAAACACTACACATGCTTCTCCACCTCTGGGGCCTTCTGAATGCAATCAAATGCTTCCTCTGTGTAGACTCTGCCCCGTCTCTGTTCAGTCCTTCTGGGAGCAGAGACTGATCTCTGCATGTTGTTTTGGTGAGGAAGGCTTTTCCTCGGAGCCCCCAGGCTGCACTTCCCAGGTCCGTCGGGATTCCCAGCTCCATGAGAGCAGAGGGTTCACTGCCTTCTTCACCACTCAAATTCTAGGTGATTGGCCCAAATTGGTGCACAGGCACAAATTCAATATTCAGGCAAGGGAAAGGGCCAAAGAGGATGTCAAATGAGATGTCAGGATCACTCAGGAGAGGTCCGTCTGTCCCAGGGGTCCAGACTCCTCCTCCTTCCCCTCTATCAAGAGAGGTCTCTTCACTTCATAGGAGGATACACAGCAGAAAGCATCCCTCTTTGACGTCCTTCTCCCAGGCGGTGGGTCCACCGTTCCATGTCTGAAAACTGAGGCTGTCTGTCCAGCAGGCAGCAGCCCAGGTAATAATCTGGGAGTTTGTTAAGGTATCAACCCATGGACAGAAGTGGTTTTCTACACTCACTCCCGGGCAGGTCTCCCATCCATGCCAGGTGTCATCAAAACCAACAGGCTAGTTGAATGGGTGATGGAAGGAAAAAGTAAACGCTGCAGCGAAGAGGCGTTGGAATGGGAGAATGCTGGCGATGCAGGGAGAATGAATGAAGGCTGATGTATGAGTGCCTCGCCGTGTCAGGGACATGGGGCAACGGGCATTGAAAAAAAAAAACCAAACCAAAACAAAACAGAAATAAAAACACCTGTTTGGTCTCCGAAAACAGTGTTCCTGTTGTCCTCGACCTGAATGGGGCTTGCTTCGCTCAATCCTTCACTGCTGTCATCACTAATCAAGACAACATGGCCCCAGCCCCCTTGGTCTTAGCCAAGCCCCAGGCTCCCCGGTGGATCCCACGAGCGTAAACAAGCCACAGAGAGAGGAGGAAGGAGAGCAAGTGACCGCCAAGAGGTTGGCGACGTATCTGAATCAAGGCCTGTATACCCGGGCGAGACGCAAAGGAAAAATCCATTTTCCTATTAATGTAATTCCCGGCAGAAACGGGTCTGTGGAGTAATCAGTGCCGAGCGGACGACACGGAACGTGGCACGTTGTTTGGCAGATTCTCTGTCATCGTCAGGAAAGCCGTCACAATTAATATTTGTGTCGCGCCTCCTCTATACTGAGAAACTTACTTCTATCACCTCATTTTACAAGCCAGTGGAGAACTGTTATCACCCTCCCCACTTTACAGGTGAGAAACCGAGGCACTGAGAGATTCAGCCATTTGCCCCCAAGATCCCACAGCCACTGAGTAAGCAGCAGAGCTGATATTTGAACCCACCCCGCCAGGCTCCCCCAGTGCACTATCTCAAACTCTATAGGCTACACAAAAGATTATTAAACGAAGGAATGCACTCATGCATTCATTCTGCAGTCTGCGGGCCTCTGTCACGAACAAGGCCCTCCGTGTGAGGACCCAAAAGCAATGATAGCAAATTCCTGACCCTTGGAGTGTTTCACAAGGTATATTTCCTGGATGGTCTGATGGTTCTATTCATAGAGGTGGACACCCGAGAGCCAGAAAACTTAACAGGTCCTTTTCAGGGTCCTGTGATCAGGAACAGACAGGATTTAGAACCTGAACCTGGGTGTTCTAACCCCAGGCCTAGAGTTATTTGCACGCTAACATGCTTGTTTAAAATACCGGAAGTAGGGGCGCCTGGGTGGCGCAGTCGGTTAAGCGTCCGACTTCAGCCAGGTCACGATCTCGCGGTCCGTGAGTTCGAGCCCCGCGTCGGGCTCTGTGCTGACCGCTCAGAACCTGGAGCCTGTTTCAGCTTCTGTGTCTCCCTCTCTCTCTGACCCTCCCCTGTTCATGCTCTGTCTCTCCCTGTCTCAAAAATAAATAAAAACGTTAAAAAAAAAATACTGGAAGAGATCAGACATGCAGACATGTGACGAATCAAACAGGGTAGGAACGATAGGTGCTTTCCCGGAACATACCAAGTGCCACAGGCAGATGCAGATCGCCACGATGTGACGGACCAAATGCCACCGTCCCGATGGAAGTACACACCTCCTTCACTAGCTTTCCCAGAGAGGGGTTGGTGTGGGTTGCTTTAGAAGAGCAAATATAAAATATGTTTCAAAATGCACAGCTACGTGGGCCACCATTTTGCATTCAGAAGAGAGTATCGTCCAAAAGCTCCCCAAATTATCTAGAAAGCCCTACTTGCCAGCTTTTGAAAATGCTTTGGGGTCCACATTTCTCCCCCTTCTGGCCTGACTTGCCCATTTAAAAGGTTGCCCTTTTGTCATGAACTCTCATTAAAATGCTCAGTTAGTGGCATCGATAAGTTTATCCCTCGGAGAAGGCAAGCACGCTGGGGCCCTAATGACATGGTCTTTCGGTGTTCTTAAGGCATTGATTAACCCTCACCTGCCAGAAATCATTAGCAAACGATTGCTATTTTCTGATAGTTTTGAAAGGAGGATAACTTTTAGTAAATAATCACCGGCCGCTTTCCCAGGGGGTAAAACCGGATTGGAGCCGCTCTGAAACGCCACATTGGTTTATTTTTTAGCGGGTGTATTTAGGAAGGAATGGAAATTGCATTCCAAGCAGCTAATTATAGGATAAGTGTGCCTACTTAACCAGGCAAGCATGTCAGCTGTGCACAGAGCGATCGCATTATATACATTTTCTGTTCTCTGGATAATTAACAGGATCAAAATATTACTGTCAGATTCAAGGGGAAAATTAACACATTATCTTAATTGTCTTTTCTACTCAGGTACAAGGCATTACCATTTCAAAAAGGACTTGTCTAATACATTGGAATTTTAAGCTATAATTCCTGAAGATGCCATTAATCCCTTTCCAAACTTTGATCTACCGTCGTGATATCTTTGGATCCTGCTTTCTCTGCCTTACTTTTGAACTTCTGGGCTAGATACAGCTATTATAAAAAAGTAAACTTCATAAACTTGCAGTTAAAGAAATGATATCAAGACAAAGTTGATAAATGCTTCAAACGCAGCACTTCCTCATAAGTTTACCTCATTTTACTATGATCTGTGTTACTGAGATTGTCTTTATTGTATTTGTATGGTAGAAAGACCAGGTAAAGGTCACCTGGTACTTGACCTTTCCCCAGCTCTACATTCAGGGGCATTACATTGGTAGCGGACATCAGCCATGGTAGGAGGGTTTGCACTGTGGACACTGGCAAAGAGGGGGCGCCCGGGTGGCTCAGTCAGTTGAGTCTCCAACTTCGGCTCAGGTCATGAATCTCACAGTTCATGAGTTCGAGCCCCACGTGGGCTCACCGCTCTCAGCACAGAGCCTGCTTTGGATCCTCCGTCCCCCTCTCTCTTTTTGCCACTTCCCGCTTGTGCTCTCTCTCTCTCAAAAATAAATAATTAAAAAAAAAAAACATTAAAAAAAAAGAAATTGGCAAAGACTACAAATCAAGGCTTTGTTGATTGCCTAGACCAGGGTTGGCAAACTATAGCCTGAGGGCTAGATGCTTATTTTAGTAAATAAAGTTAATTAGAACACAGCCACACCTACTTGTTTGCATCTTATCCATGGTTGCTTGTGTGCTATCACAGAATTCCTACAGAGACCGTGTGCTCTGCAAGCCTAACATACATATACATAGTAAATATATAGATGTCTATATATAGAATATATAAATTTATATAGACATACAAAATACATAGATATAACAAATAGATATAAATATATATATTATCTTTTATTTTTTTAAATATTTATCTATCTTTGAGAGAGAAAGAGAGAGACAGAGCATGAACAGGAGAAGGGCAGAGAGAGAGGGAGAC